CAATCTCTAGACATGTTCCCCTTCCATCTGCACACGTGTGCCTTGGGGGAGGCAGCTAAGCAACCCCGCCATTGGGCCTTCAGCAAGCCAGGCTTCCATGCTCCTTTGTCCCTCACTCTGTTCTCTGCAGCCTGGCAAATGAAGTGTGTGTTGAAAAGAACCTCGTCCATGACCTATGCCCAGGCCCTGGCTTGACCATCGGCTCCTGGCACCAGGCGGGAGCAGCTGTTTTCCATCTCTCCTCAGACCAGCTCTATTTTTATCTGGTGACCTTTAGAGAGATCTCCCAGGCAAGCTCAAGGTGCCCCACTGGGCCCTTCTAGGGAGAAGGGGCTGGAAGATTCTCCCCAGACTCTGCCATGCTGCTTTCTCTACCCCAGCTCAGGGTGTCTGCAGAGTACCTCTATGGCCAGGGCAGGGCAGAGTGTAAAGTGCTGGGTTCCCTGGGGCTCTGTGTCTAAGGAGTCCCAGACCTCTGCCTTTCTGGGCTTGATGACAAGTTTTGGGGTTTTTCAAAGCCAGGGAGAGAAAAGATGGCAGTTTTATGTGGCTGCCTGAAGTCTGGCCTTACCCATTTGGAAAGAGGTTCTTATTACAGGATATGCAAGCCATGGCCAGGATGCACAGAGGAGACTCCAGAACTGGGTGGGGTTGGCTACTGACCTCTGAGGAGCCTCACCCTGAAGTGCATTCCATAGTATTAGGAAGTGAGGGAGGGTGTGAGTGGAGGACCGAGGGGCTTGAATTGAGAGACAAACCTGGGTGGGAAGTGAAGGGGCCCTTCCCTTCAGTTTCAGGACTCAGCCTAGTGTCTGTACCATGCCCAGAAGAGTGAATGATGTTATGTTCATTTTCTTTACATCTCACTCTGGCCTGGCTCATGCCAGTGACCTTGAGGAGCCTGTCCCCTAAGCCTCAGAGACTTTGATTCCACTCTCCAAGAATGACACTGGGAAGAATGTTGCTGAGTTTTGTGGTTTTCATAGTTGGGGTTCAGAATGTTAGCTTCAGAATTCAGAGCCTGGGGGTGGAGGTGCTGGAGTTTGATGAGGCATAAATATACGTAGGTGGAAAAAAAAATACCAGGATGTTAGTAACAGTGAGGAATTGTGTGATTTGGGGCAGTTAGTAGATTCACCCACAAATCAGAGTGGTCCAGAGCCCCAGAGTAAGGCTGGAGGAAGCTAGGGTCAGGATGGAATGAAGTCAGGGTTGGAATGGGTAGGAATGACAAGTTCCTAATGCCCATGGGTTGGGAACCAAGCCCTACTGAGAAGATGAGTGGGTTCCCAGTTCAGCCAATAATGAATGGATACAGTTACCAAAGCTGCTACCTGCTGCAGCATCCCTTCTACCTAAGGAGTCCCAGGCTATGGATGCCTTCCAGAGAAGAGACCCTATTAGACATTTAGCTGACGCTGTGGCATAGATCAGCTTCTACCTGCATTTCCTCAGAGAACCAGCAGGAGGCGGCTTTAAGAAACTACACTTCTGCTTCTGCTGTTGTCATAGTGACTGCCTTCTTCCTTATGGTCTCCTCCAAATCCACTAGAGCTTGCCTGTATCCTGCCTCACGCCACTTGTAGAATTCAGAGCAATAAATACTTTCTGCATTCCTCCGCCTCCTGTATCTTTTTTTTTTTTTTCTTTCAGGAAGCCTTTTTCTTCTTCCCAGGCATACATCAATCCAAGAATATCTAAGACACATGGTCCTGGAGCTTGGAAATAAGCAGTCCTAAGAACAGATAGAAAAGCTTGGGACCGTAGAAATCCTTGGATTTGAGCCCAGGTTCTGTCATTGATTAGCTAGGTGGATCTGAGTAAGCTGTTCCTTCCCCATCTGAGTGATGGGAGAGTTGATCTAAGTGGTGTCTTGGAGTAGTACAGGGTGCTGTTGCTGGAGTGGGAATAGCCATGCTGGGTCAGAGTCCAGTGTTCCGGAACTACATACTCACTGAAATCAGGACTCTAGGATAGGAAGAAGCATCCCCAGATGGGTGTCAGAGAAGCTCAGTGGGATCATGTACACTAATGGGCTCAGGTGCTTGCCCCACTGGATCCAGGGAGCTCTTGCTGTTCCCACCCTTCCCAAGGATTGACTGTGTGCCTCTAATAAATCATGATTCCTGTTGGAACCTGTCCCAAGTACAGTCAGTGTCTGACTGCCTGCTGGTGGCTTTACTCCCTTACCTTTTGCCCTGTGTGCAGTACCTCAAACTAATTCATTGATGATGGAATGAGATCACCATCTGACCCACCCCTGCCTGCTCTTCCCTCCCCTCCTCTCCCATTTCCAGACCCTCTCCAAGATTCGGGCATTATCCAAGTGCCCCTCAATATCCCCACCTCCTCTCTACCCTTTTGTATCTGCCCTAAACCACCTTCCACCATCTCTCTCTTGGCTACAACACAATCTCCCTGCCTGTACTCTGGCCCCTTCAACCCTGTCTGTGTACGTCAGATCTGTCTGTGGAAAATGTCAATCTGATCACCGTTCTACCGGCTCAATCTCTTCATCACCTCTTTGTAACAGAATTTCCCTTTGGAAATCTGGCCCCTGTCCACCTATCTGGCCTCAGCTCCCAGCATGACCCTCAGACCCACACTCTGGCCCTACTTGCCAACTCTCCACAGTCTTTGCATGAGATCTGTCTTCTGCCTGCAGGGTCCCTGGCTCCTCTGCCTGGTGAGCTCCCATAAGTCCTGCATCCTGCAAGAGCCAGTGCCCATACCTCCTCCTCTGGGAGGCCTTTCCAGGCTCCAGGCTGAGCTGGCACTATGTTCCCGGCTCCCTGAACTCTCTCAGAGCCATGCCTGAGATACAGCACAAAGACTGTTTTACTGCTCAGAATCTGAGCTAGCTGAGCTCCTTAAAGATAGTCTTGGCATATTTGGTTTTAGTCCATGGATAGAGGCTCAGAGAATATGAGAAGATAGTGGGGGGGAAGTGGGAGAAAGGGAGGGAAGGAGGGCAAAAGGGAGAACAAGAGACATGGAATGAAGGAGGGAGAAAGAGAAGGGAGAAAAAGTCAAGAAAAGATATTGGGGAACAATTCATTCATTTATTCCTCCATCCATCCATGTTTCATTCATCCAGCAAACATCTGTTGAATTTCTATTAGGCATTACTCTAGACACTAGGGATACAGCAGTTACCAAGCTTCAGCGAACGCAGCCAGTCCCCAGCATTCCCAGGTGAATAAAGAGTTCTAATGTCAATGCGTGTGTAGCCAGGGCATGCAAGCCCTTCTGTTTGCAAGGGCCTGCTGCCGGGACACCTGTCTTCCCCAGAGCCCAGTGCTTTTAGCATCTGGCCCCGGCTCCTGTTGCAGCCCGAAATAAGGCTGTGACCCACGGGCAAGACAAGAATGATTCTTGTCAGCTGAAACCAGCACTGCCTGTAGGCACACCCTGCTCACTGACTGCTGACCGCTCCTGCAACAGACACTGACCACGCAACTCCAGCTCCCCGACTGAGGTGTTAATCTTGAGGGTCTGACATTCCTTCCCACCTACTGTGGCCCCATCAGGTACAGACATCATCCTCTCATCTTTGGGAGCTCTTGAGACTTAGGGGGAGTGGGCCCAGGAGATAAGGCAAATTTTCAGGGCCTTGCAGGGGATCTGTGGAGCCTGGGCCTCACAGCAGCCTAGGGCCTGCATTAGGAGGAAGGGAGCGACAAGCTCTAGGGTTCTGGACATCAAGTGGGAAGGCTGGGGTTAAAGGTGAGGGAGAGGTAGGTGCTGGCTTTGCTCAGCCTTTAGGATCATTAGGCACTGCAGAGAAACAGCTCCCTGAGTGTAAGTTTGGGACCCTTCCCAGATCCTGTGAATGTTTATCTGGGGACATATCTGAGGGCTATGGCATTCTAACTCACATAAGTCTCAGTTGGCGCTTGTCAATTATCTTGTGACCCTAACCTTCAACTGCGTACGGACATGCTCAGATTTGCATTCAGTTGTAGAGGTCCGTGGATGTCCTGTAGCCCATTCCTTTAGTTCAGTCCAATCAACATTGTTAAATTATAAAGGGGGAAAATGAGGCACAGAGATGGTGAATTGCTTGTCCATACTTGCAGGGAAAGTCAAGGGACCCCATTGGACTCAGCTCAGTCAGTGTTCTCAAGGGCCCTGTTGGGTATGGGAACACAAATGGAATATGGAAAGACCTGAAAGCCAAGGAGAGGGGCACTGATGGGTGGGCAGGGATGAGGAGCTCAAGTTTGGGTTCCCTTTTCTGACCCCTGTAAGGGAAACTGGGTGGGGACTCACACAGGTTCTTAGGGGACTGCATTTGTCAATCTGCTTCAAGATTCCTGGAAAGCACTATGAAATGAAAGAGAGGGATGAAGGAAGACTAAGAGAAGACATGGCAGGTAGGGACAGCTGAGGGCTGGGGGTGTGAGGTGCTACTGGGATTGGAGGTAAGACAGGTGGGCAGGGAGAATGTTTCAAAGGGCCCTGTCGAGATAGAGCTGGTAGAGTCGGATGGTTATAGTGGTGTTTACCCGAGGTAGCTCTGCTGCAATGGAAGCAGCCCAAAGGTGGAGAGATGTGGAGGATGTGATGGGTTTGCCCATCTTATTGAACCAGCCTCAGGACCAAGTACCACCATGCAGACCCCAGGATACCCCTGGCCTGACTCATGATCCCCAACCTCTTCCAGCCTCCAGCCTCCAGTTAGAACTCTTAGGTGAGCAGGTGACAATTGTGCCTGAGGTCCCACCTACCCCACCCCAAAGCCCCAAGCATGGGGACAGACCCCAGGGAGAAGCCCTTAAAGAGAGTGACTTCCCGGAAGACTAGCCTCTGGTTTGTATGGCCTCCTTGGCCCACAGTCTTCTCCTTCATAAAGAGACCTCAGAGGCCCCTCAACTCCTCTGGCCTTTGCTTGTGACTATGGTCATCAGCTCAGGACTGGGACTGGGTGGCGAGAACTTAGAGGTCTGGGAGAAAGAGGAGGCTTCTTGGTCCATTTGTGGGAATTTTTCCTCCACAGGATGATCCCCAAGGAGCAGAAGGAGCCAGTGATGGCTGTCATGGGAGACCTTGCTGAACCAGGTAAGTTGGATTTAGCCCTCTCCATTCCTCAGAGTCCTCTTGACCTCAGATTATGGCCATTAAGGCCTGCTGGCCTCAGGCATGGCAAGTAAGTAGGGTTTTCACACCAGCCCCATGCTAGACATGTCTATGAAGTATGCCACTGAGCTGGGATACTTTCTGAGGCTTTTGTGGGAACTTATTCTATCTTCACTACAGCTAAGTACCCCAGGCTGGGTCTAGGTTCCAAGACCACCCTGTTCCCAGCCTTCTCTGAGGCCCAACTGCCCTCCAAGGATTGTTCCTAAATTCAGCTCAACTGTGGGTCTCAGGCCTTGGGGCAGGACAGGTAGCCCAGCCCCATTTCTGGGAATAAGAGCGTACGTGTGATGGGGCATGGGGGGACTGGAGGGAAGGTAGCTCAGATGGACTCAAACCATTTTGCTAAAATCTACTTGATTTTGTGAACAAATCACCTAAATTAAGCCCATGTTTGGCAACTTTACAAGGCCCCTTTGAGAACTCCTGTTATAATCATGGAGTTTATTAGAGCACTTCAAATATTCTAAAAAACGAATCCAACTAAGTAGGGAATTTCAAGATTTTGTGTGACCTCAATGGCTCTGTGTTGCTGGTTAAAATCCATATCCATGGCATCAGCTCCTGGGACTATGGTTCATTGCAGCAGACTGGATGGGGCTCATACCTTCTGAATAAGTGCCCAGGTGACTGGCCCGGATGGCAACAGAGACACGCTGATAAATACTTGCTCCAGAGGTCCTTTGCTGCTAAGTCTTGGTTAGAAACTGAAGGACTCAACAATTATGTTGTGATGCACAAAATTTATTTTTAGAAAAAAAAATTGTTTGAGACAAGGTAGCATATATCTCAGGTAGGCCTCAAACTTGCTATTAGCTGGCAACGACCTTAGAAAGTGCCATGTGTGTATGTGTGTGTGTGTCTTAATTTGTGGGTTATTCTTTTTACCTACCTTGTGCGTTCTTTCCTTTTTGTTGTTGCCATCTCTGAGTGCTGAAGATCACATTCAGGGTCCCATGTTTGCCACATGAGCACTCTAGCACTGAGTCATACTCCCAGACTGTGCCCTCCATGACTTCCTGTGTTCACATATACAAACTCTGTGAAGTATTGCTGCTGAAACTGGAGGAGTCACACAGTACGTTTCATGTCTCTTGTCCATGTAGTTAATCACAAATTATCGACACACGCAATTTATACCAGATGTAGTTGTTTTCGAGACGCTGTACTAGTTATCTTTTGTTGTTTCGACAAGGAACTACAGCAAAGGCAACATCCAGAAGGAAGTCTGTTGTGGTTGACCGTTCCAGAGGGAGAATCTATAATGGAGGGGGGAGCATGGTGGCAGGCAGCCTGAGCAGGGAACTTACAGAAAACATCTTCAAGCACAGCAGAGGGCAGAGAGAAACACGGCACTGGAGGTGGGGCCATGCCACAAGCTCTTAGATTCAGCCTCATCTACAGAGCGAGCTTCAGGAGAGCCAAGGAAACCCTGTCTTGAAAAATCAAACAGAGAAACAAACAAAAAAGCAGCAACAATCAAAAGCACTTACCGTTACTGCTGGGCACTATGGGTTAGACACTGCGTTAAAAACGTTGATGCATTTAGCCAGCTGAGCTGCAACAGCTCTAAGTTACATGTTATCATTCCATTTCTGCAGAACAGAAAGAGGGCTCTGAGGAGCCAGGGGGTCATGACTGGGAGGTGATCTCTGTCTCCAGATCTATTGCTTCTATTGTGGTTTTGTAAATAATGTATCTAGTTAAAATATAAAAGTGGCCAGAGAATGGCACAATGGTTAAGAGCACCGGCTGTTCTTCCAGTCAACGGGATTCAGTTCCCATCATCCACATAGGGGCTCACAACTGCTTGTAACTTCAGTTCTACAGGCTCTGACCCTCTCTTCTGCCCTCTGTGGATATTGTATGCATGCGGTGCACACATACATTCAGGCCAAACATCTATACACAAAATAATAATTTTTTCAAAAACTTCAAACAAAATATACCTGAATGACTTTGAAAGTTCTTCACAATGAAACAATTTGAATATATTAACCACTACTAGCATACTGTTGTGAATTCTTCTGCTCAACATTTTTATCTGAATGCATGTGCATGGATCATGTTCTCCAGCCGGCTTTCTTTTTCACTTAGCAGCATACCACAGGATTCTCTTTGTCCTGGAATGAGTTAACTTGCACCTGCTTCCTTAGCTCGTCGTTGTTTGGAACATGTCATATTTATCCAGCCAGTTCATGATGGGAATCCCAAAATTTGCCTTAAGTGGGGCCCTCCAGAGAATAGCCTGAGTGTGCAAAGGACTGACTGAGGATATAACTTAGCTGTAGTTCAAGTTCAGCCCGGACTCCTTGTGGTCAGTGACAATAGGGGCAGGGAGGGATGATTCAGCGGGTAGAAAGTCCTTGCTGTACGGGCATAGAGACCAGAGTCCCAATCCCTAGCACCCATGTAAAAATCACTGGGCATGGGGGCAAGTGCCTGTCACCCAGAAGCAGAGACAGAAGGGTCCAGCCAGCCTAGCCTAAGCAGTGAGCTTCCAGTTCAGTGAGAGAACCTGTCTCAAGGCTGGAAGGCAGAGGTCGGTATAGGTAAATACTTGAAGTCTTCCTCTGCTTTCTTCATGGGCATACACCCCTGTACCCCTGTACCCTCCCACATATGTACGGCACACACACCCAAAACAAAGAAATAAACGTTCCAAAAGAGAAAAAGTGACCACAAACACTTTAAACAGCTGATATCCTGTGTCCCACAGTCACTGCTAATATTTGGATGACTCCATGAAGTCTTCAGTTCATGTCCAAGCCTAACTGTATTTGTAATAGGTAAATGGAATGGTAGGAGACACACTTTTCAGAAAGTGCCAACCCTTTAACACAAAGTATATTTCTTTGTGTTCATTCCTAGCATGTAGAAAATGTTCCTGGGATGCTTGGAGCTTTTGTTGGGGCTGATGTTTCTGTGTGTTATTTTACAGCAAGGTTGCCTGTAGCTCACACTGTCCTAGGATTTGTTTTGTTCCTTGCTTGCTAAGGATAACTTTGAGCTCTTGATCCTCCTGCTTCTTAGGTGCTGGGACTACAAGGTGTGTACCAAACACTCCTTGTTTTCAAATACTTGTTGACAGAATGACAAACAAACTCACCTCCCTTTCTTAGTGTGTCTGTTAACAGAGTGGTTGGTAGCAACTGTGCCTGTCCTGTGCCGCTGGCAGCTGCGTCCACCTGTCTGCAGTCTGTGCGCTCTCCCATGCTGTGAGTTTGGATGATTCTGGCAACCCCAGTCCCTGAAAGTCTCTACTACCTCCTCCCATATCTTTGTCTTGGCTGCTGGCCTTCCTCACTGTCACAAGGAGAAGAGTGAAGTGGCTAACGCAGAACACATGCAGGGGCCCTCTGCCACATCCATCTATTTTCTTTCGTCCGTGCCAGCCTGTTCTCCACTTTCCTGATAGGGATCTTGATGGGCTGTGCTCGGACCTGGGGATCCAATTCAGCAGCTGAGGATATAACTTAGCTGTAGTTCAGCAGCTGAGGATATAACTTAGCTGTAGTTCAAGTTCAGCCCGGACACCCGCTTTCTCTCAAGAACATTCTTTTGCCGTTTTCCCTCCCTCTTTTGCGTTGGCAGCTTCCTGACTCCACAAATGCCTGCGACCACAGCCTTTCAGAGCAGCCGTCCATACTTTTCTTTCTAACATTTTTACTTTCCAAACACAAAGGGAAGTAGAATACAAGTGCCACAGTCCACCTTTATTAATGGTTCCCAAATTAATGCCGAAGAGCACCGTGACACTTTCTCTAAGGAGCATGTCACCTCCCCCGCCCCCGTGTCTACAATCAGAGGAAAGAAAATAGCCTTCCCTTTTTGTCACAAAAAGTTAGCATATTGGACAGAATCAGCAGTACTTATTTAGTGCCGTCTAAGAACTAGTCTATATTCCTATTTCTTACTTTTAATAGTTTTTAGAGTTTTTAAGCTGGGCAGTGGTGGCACAAGCCTTTAATCTCAGCACTTAGGAGGCAGAAGCAGGCAGATCTCTGAGTTTGAGGCCAGCCTGGTCTACACAGCGAGTTCTAGAACAGTCAACACATACACTAAAAATCAGACACAGAGCCTCCTGTGTCAGGTGAATATTTTAATCTGGGAGGCTTAAAGTATTCAGGGAGAAAGCAAAACAGACAGAGCCAACAACTTAGCCCAGTTTAAGTAGTGAAGAAAAATACCCTGGAAACCTAGGGGACCTAGTAATGCAGAGAAGAAATACATACAGAGAAAGGGCACTCAAAAGACTTCAGAGACAAGAGATGGTCCAAGAAATCAAATTCTGCTGATGTGTCAAACCAGATGAAGCCTGAAAACTGACCATCGGAGATGCCAGGTTGGGGTTGGTGGTAATCTCCACTAAAGCAATGTCCATAGAGCACTGGGCTGTGAAAGTATGGCTGGAGAGGGCTCAAGAGAAAACCCACAGTGGAGCAAGGGAGCAATGAGCCAGAAGCAGGATGTAGGATGTTCTGAGTGCAGCTGTGCAGCTGCTTAGTTTCTTCAAACAAGAAAAGGAGAGGGGAAGAAAGGAAGAAAAAAAAGAAAGAACAGGAGAGGGGAAGAAAGGAAGAAAAAAAAGAAAGAACAGGAGAGGCATTGTTTTGGGTTAAGTGATATTTAAGAAACATAGCAACCAAATAAGAACCATGTGCCTCTCGAGTCCTGATTTAAACCACAAATGGGGTCCAGAGAGATGGCCTGGCATTTAAGAACATCAGCTGCTCTTGTTCTTGGTCCCAAGTTCAATTCCTAGCACCCTCAAAGCAGCGCACTGCTGTCTAAGTCCAGTTCCAGGGTGAAGGATGGCATGCGCACAACACCCTCTTCTGCCCACTGCAAGAACTGCGTGGATGTGGTACACATCCATGCGGGCAAGAACACCTGTACACAGAAAATACAAATAAATAAGT